ATATTGAGGAATTAGAGTATATGGATGGAATTGATAAAACATATATTATGGATGGAATTGATATAAAATATATTATGAATGGTATTTTAGACAAAAGGCATGGGTATGGGTTTATTTGCAAGACAGTTTTTTTATCTGAATCTATGTGCATTTAAATTCATTGTCATGGGTGATGGGACTATTTGTCATTCGTCCAATTAATTATAGTAGTATTTTTCCCCGGTGCGATGCACGGGATATTATTTAATAGTGAAAAAAAATTATCAATTTAATACATAATAAGAAAATATGGTACACTAATATAGTAAAATTTAATAATATAGTATTATTCATATTTTATATAACATTAGTTTTTTAAATCTTACATTTTAAGATTTATAATCCAAATAAATAGACTAAGATTTAACAAATCGAATATCTAGCTTTATATTTTAGTAATTGTTGAAAATTGTAGTAAAAAAATTAGTAGAAAAAAAATATTAAAAATAAATAATTATATAAGTAGCAATAAGGTAGAATTCTTCACGGGTTAGTTTTAATTTTGATAATTGTTAAAAATTATAGTTAGAAATTAGTAAAGAAAAAATATTAAAAATAAATAATTACAGAAATCCATTAGGGTTTTCGTTGGGTTGCCCCGCGTTTCTTTCTGTTATATATAAGATATAAGATGTGCCTTCATATAGTTAGGTCCAATTGTGAAACATAGACGAACAAATTATCTCATCTTATCTTAATCTTAATCTTAATATAAATAAAAAAAAAGTTTTGCCCCAAAACCCTAGATCCATTTTTCTGAAAAAAATCAACGCCGGAGACCGGCGGTCAACGACAGTTGACCAGCCGGAAAAAATTTTGAGAAAAAAAAATTCAAAACAAAAGAAAGAAAAATTCAACGCCGGAAAAATAAAATTCAGAAGAAAAATTATTTTTCTGAAATAATTTTTTTTTTCAAAAAATTATGAAAATGCGGGTTAATTTGATATATTTGTTCAAATTTGGGGTCAATGTGTAATATTGAGGAAATTAGAGTATAATGGATGGAATTGATAAAACATATATTATGGATGGAATTGATATAAAATATATTATGAATGGTATTTTAGACAAAAGGCATGGGTATGGGTTTATTTGCAAGACAGTTTTTTTATCTGAATCTATGTGCATTTAAATTCATTGTCATGGGTGATGGGACTATTTGTCATTCGTCCAATTAATTATAGTAGTATTTTTCCCCGGTGCGATGCACGGGATATTATTTAATAGTGAAAAAAAATTATCAATTTAATACATAATAAGAAAATATGGTACACTAATATAGTAAAATTTAATAATATAGTATTATTCATATTTTATATAACATTAGTTTTTTAAATCTTACATTTTAAGATTTATAATCCAAATAAATAGACTAAGATTTAACAAATCGAATATCTAGCTTTATATTTTAGTAATTGTTGAAAATTGTAGTAAAAAAATTAGTAGAAAAAAAATATTAAAAATAAATAATTATATAAGTAGCAATAAGGTAGAATTCTTCACGGGTTAGTTTTAATTTTGATAATTGTTAAAAATTATAGTTAGAAATTAGTAAAGAAAAAATATTAAAAATAAATAATTACAGAAATCCATTAGGGTTTTCGTTGGGTTGCCCCGCGTTTCTTTCTGTTATATATAAGATATAAGATGTGCCTTCATATAGTTAGGTCCAATTGTGAAACATAGACGAACAAATTATCTCATCTTATCTTAATCTTAATCTTAATATAAATAAAAAAAAAGTTTTGCCCCAAAACCCTAGATCCATTTTTGTGAAATATTTGTGCCGTAGGATC